CGCAGCCTCGGTCTCACTCAGCCACTCGGACCTGGTAGCCCCGCATCCTTGCCCCGTCCTACCTTCTGTCGTTGCAGGGTGCTTTCTTGCACTTCTTCCTAGTTGTATGACTTGTTCCTCTAGATCCCAAGCGATTTTCCCTTGCTGCTGCTTCTTCTTTCCATCACAACTTTGATTTGGTCACCAGAGGGATGAACAGAGCCTCTATCATCTACGTCATTTTTTTTTCTCTCCGCCTATGATTTTTATTACCACAAAAGTGAAAAACAACATGGCTTACCGATATTAAAAACTCATGTATATAAAGCTTAACATATAACCAAACATTGAATTACTTAATAGGTAGACCAGACTCTGGACGAATGTCCTAAGTTTGGAGAACAAATTGCTTGTATTTTCCATCCATGTTATGAAGTGGGCTCACAAAAGATAGATTGTCCTTACTCTACAGAAGTTAGCTGTTGCAAGTAAGAATTAATACCTGAAGGCCATCATTATGTAAGAACTGCCAGCTAAAACAACAACACCTTCAAATTAAAATGAACTTAAATAATTGAGCTGAAATACTACTTCCAACTCAAATAACTGTGCTTCATTAGTGGGGTATACTCAAAGTGGTCACAAAAGGAAACATTATATCTTGTTACTTATCCAGCAGTTTTCCTATAATTTGTTAATTCAAGTTTTAATTTTTGCTGACATCTAAAACAAACGAGTCATTATATTCATATTAATTAAATATTCCAGTGAAAAAAATGTAACTGTAGAGTTAAGGGTTGGAAAAAATAGGGAGAGGCTGGTAAAAGGGTATGAGCTTTCAGTTATAAGACATAGTCCTGGGGAGCTAATGTATAACATAGTGACTTTAGTCGATGATGCACTCAAAAGGTAAATATATGAAGCGATGTGCATTAACTCAATGGTGGGAATCCTTTCACAATGTATATCAAATCATCATGTTGTACACTGTAAGTGTAATTTTGTCAATTATATCTCAATAAACCTGAAAAAAAAAAAAAAAGAAATGTAACTTTATGGCTTTGCAATTCTTTGTGTCTTAGTGTCTTAGTGTCTTCCCATACTGAATATGAGCTTGCTCTATGAGATTGTCTTGGCCTATAGGACATTAGCAAGTCTGACACAGCATAGGCTTAATAAAAGCTTGCATTCTGGAGGTCTGTTAAAACTCTCTCCTGGAAGCAAGCTACCATGGTATAAAAACACTTGAGCTAGACTACTGAAAGATAAGAAGTCATGTAGAGAAAGGACCCTGGAAGATGAGAGGCCATGTTGGATGTTCTCACCCCAGCTGAGCTTTCAGCTGAATACAGCTGTATGAGTGACCTCAGCTCCACCATATGAAGCAGAAGAACTGCCCAGCTGAGTCCAGTAAGCTACTGAATCAGGAGAAATAATAAAATTTGAAGCGGGGAGGCGGGGGGATCTTTTATCCTGAAACAGATAACCAAAACAGCTTCATTAAATTATATTGTCAAAAAGGAATACAAATTGAGTTTCAGTGAAGAATTAAAAACCAAGAAGTTATCCCATGAATAATGTTAAATTTAAATGGAAATAAAATAAACTCATAACTTTAAAATATATCTCTTTTAGGTCTGTTCAGTAACATGACCTAAATAACAATATTGCCCCAGTCCATAAATCTGATATGGATTCCAGGAACTTTGGTCTCTGATCCCATGTTCTACTATGTCTCCTTCAAAGAAAGAGGATGGCTGATCTCATTCAGAGCAGGGAAGATACAAAGCAGTCTCGAGAACAAGATGTCTTTAAAAACGTATGGGATCCTAAGAAAAGAATGTAGAAGGCAGCTCAAAAGAATAGAAAGACAGAACTTTTTTTTCCCCAAAAAACATTAATGGACAAGTTAATGGAACTACTACTCCCCTAAAGGCCACCCTTTGGACATTTACATATTAGATGACATGCTCCTCATTATCTAAAACATTTAATTAAGTGTGTTATGATATTCCATTCTCAGATTTGCAAGACCCTCCACAAGTGCAATAGCCTTGAGCCTTGAAAGAGTGGAAAGTGAACTTGCAGCACCAGAAACAAGTGAATTTTACCTTTTGAATGTACCTGAAATAAAAAGGATCTGCTTCTCTTTTTAATTTATTTGCCAACAGATTTGAACAATTATTGTTGTTTGCTGTCTTACCACTTCCCTTGCCTTCTGTGGTCCATTAGGACAAAGGCCTTCCTAAGGACAAAGATAGATGTTCAAGACTGACATATAACTGTAGAGTTAAGGGTTGGGAAAAATAGGGCCTTCTTTTGACACTAACCTAGAGAAGCAAGTTAAGAGGTTTTGTTATCCGGGCTTAAAAGAATCCTCTATCATTAACTCTACCTTTGCTGAGCTATCCAAAGAGAGGACCAGGAAAAAAACAATTTATTCATGAAAAACCAAAAAAAAATAAAAACCCAAAAAACAAAAACCCAAACTAATATTTCACATTCTTGTGTTTGTAGCTTCAGGTCCATGAATATTTAGTGACTTAAAATTATAAAAGGCAAATTACATAATTTATTTTAATAGTAGTTAATAGTACTTAAATATATAACAATCATGTTAATGATACTTTAGAAGTTATACATTTTTAAAAAGCAAAAAGAATTCTCATTAAAAAGAGAAGCATGGTATAATGCAAATACATTAAAGATGATTTTTTAAATTGGAAAATGTTTAAAACTATGAAGTAATCGGATATAGGGAAATTAATCGAATATACATAAATTTAAGCATATAGAAAGAAGATGTTTATCCAGCACCATCAGGATGTGTGTGTATGTAGAAAAGTGTAGACTGCTATACACAATAGTCTCATTCATATCCAGGTGAATTTAGATTAAGTGGGTAGCTAAACTTGGCTTGGACCCATTAGAAAGATATGGGCAGTTACAAGAAATATTGAGGTTTTCAACAAAAGTAATTACTTAATATCCAAGATGTTTGTTTAAGATAACCTCACAACTTAGTATTCCAGAAAAAAAAGTGTCGAAGTTGCTTCATTATAAAAACCCACTTGCCTTTTCTTTGGCATGAGAGGGCATTTTTTTATGTGACTCTCACCAACAATTGTTAGAATAGTGGCCATATAAAATAAAGAATACACAACTGATTTAAATCAAACACAATGATAAGACTAGTTTCTTTTGGTATACTTATTCCAAAAATAAAGAGACAAAATTAAAATTACTTAGAGTAAAAGAATGAGAGAGATAGAGAAAGTAGCTATGTTAACATTTCCCTATATATCCCTTCATCTACTTCTGTGGATAAGAGATAAATTACATTTTCCAAAATATCTTCTATGATCTATGACCTGTATATATTTTCCTTATGTCTTATATCACCTGTATCTTCAACAGAAAATCATTCCTTTTCTGAGAAGTATCTTTTCATTTCCTACTAGCCTTAAGAAAGCTTAGGGACGAAGGTACAAAGGGAAAGAACAGGCCATGAAATTATGGAGTTAGGCAGGAGAGTGCATTGAGTTTAAGTGAGTATCCAGGGATTGCTATTCAGCAGTCCCATAGAGTATTATGTGACAATATTAATGTCACCTCGACTAAACTCTCCATATATGTCAGTAGACTTACTGATCTACAACTGCCAAATGCAAGAACTAGTATTAATAATAATGACTATCAGGCATCAAGAAAAGATAATATCATCTTCGGTATGTTCTGTTCCTTTATGGCGAAGAACATTTTTACAAAGATTTTTTGTTTAAAATAACTAACAATCATAAGTGCTAGTATTTAAGGGGCTAATTGTAGTTGTCTAGGACACTTTATCCAGAACTTTTGCCACTACTATTCATGATTTAGGTTGTGTTGTATTTTCACTCTCAAAATATAATTTTTAACTAAGGCCTTTTAATGATTCTGAAATATAGCTGTGTATAACTTTAGTAATTTTTTACACCTATTAAATTTTATTTATTTGGTTAATCCAAACCTCCACATTACAAAATGTTACAATGAACTACAGTTAGACTAGATGGACAAGCCTCAAGTCATATCTAGAATATTAGATCAGATACCTGACTTAAATACCTCAAGGTGTCCACATGATGCTAATATAGTAGTCTTAGCACCCATGAGTTTGACCTTATCAGTTTTCAGCTATTGGGGAAAAACAAGTCATAAGTCATAATTTTGCTTAACTGAGGTTTTGAATGCTGTGCTCCTGAGAATGCTCTGTGGGAGTGCACAGGCAGTAAGTGTCCCAGACCATTGCCAGCAATCCATGTTCTCCATGTTTTACCACAGGGATTAAACTTTCTCTGTAAAGGGCCAGACAGTAAATATTTTAGGCTTTGTGGGCCATACCGTCACTGTGGCAACTACTTAACTCTGCTGTTATAATGCAGGAAAGCAGCCATGGACAATATATAAGGGAATGAGTGTGGTTGTATTCCAATAAAACTTTATTTATGAACAATGAAATTGGAATTTCATACTTTTTCCCGTCACGGAAAGTTCACATTTCATATTCACACTTAAAAATGTAAAAACTATTCTTAGCTGGCCAGCCATACAAAAACAGACCACCTTGGCCCACTGGACGCAGTTTGCCCACCCCTACTTTATCACACGTGCAGTGACTCTCCAGCGACTCTCCGGTATAAGGGGTCAGGGTTAACATCAAGGAACGTCTCTGCTGGGATGAGGAGGTCTCACGCACAAGCCCCATGTGCCCAGACTGGCGCATTCCCAGTCAAGTCTGGGATCCACTGTCTGGACCACTGCGTTGCCAGGTCACTCCGAGGAGTGCAGGTTCGGAAGGAAGAGGTCCTCAGTAGGAGAGGGACACACCTCAACATAGGAGGGCAAGACCCTGGACAGTGGGGTTTGGAAGTTGTGTAAGACCAGAACAAAGAAGAGCCAGAATTCAGGTGGGCCCCGAAACCCCGTGGTTCCCTCAGGAATGTCTCCTGACTCGCTGCCGCCTTAGGCAAGTCACTCACTCGGATACGCCGGCAAGGACGAAGGCCATAGAAACAGCGCAAATAGAAGGACTAAGGACTTCATGGGCATCAACCGCAGCACTCCGCCATGCGACGGGAACGTCCTAGGGCCACAAGGCCGGGTACCTCAGGGCGGAAAGAGGGGAGGGCCGGCGTCCAATGGTCTATCTCAGGGCCCTGGGCGCCCTGCAACGGTTGTGCCCAGAGCGCAAGCGCAGCCTGGGTGGGCGTGGGGCCGCGCGCAGGGGGCGGGGCGACCGACCCGCTCTGGTGCGCATGCTCCCTCTGACTTGGAAGCTTTATGCCCGGCGCAGGCCTCGGAACGTCCCGACGCCCCGTCGAATGTGGGGTTCGGCCCATCCATGGAAGATAGGCATGGAGCTAGCCTAGAACACCGTCTCTACGCGGAAAGAACAGTCTGTTGAAAGAGATGGACGAATAACCTGGCCATTACAACAGAGTGAAAAGTGCTGTAATGGAGGAAGTGCTAGGCACTGTGGAGCACTAAGCAAGCCTCACCCCACCCTCATCCAAAAAATGTTAGGAGGAGGTTGCCTAGTTGGAAGAAAGCTTAGAGCTCCCCAAGAACTGAAGATAAGGGTTAGAGGCGGGGCGCAGTTGTGGGAGGTGAGGCAGGGAGAGGTAAGCAGAGGCATTAAAGCCATTTTAAGGACTTCGATTTTGTTTCGCTTTTTCAAGAGATTACATTCTTTTTTTTTTTTTTGAAAGGACAAAACTAGCTTTGGAGAATAGATCCGTGGTTGTCTGAGGTTAAGGATAGGGGAGGGTGTGGCTATAAAGGGAGAGCATGAAGGAATTTTGGGGGGTGATGGATAGTTGTGGCCACAGAATCTAAACATGTCTTAAAATTCATAGAACTGTTCAGCACAAAATTCGTAGAACTGTTCAGTGTTACTTTATGATAACTAAAAAAAATTCGCCGACACACATCGCTGCCTCAGGATGCAAGGGGCTTGGATTTTCTGAGGTATGGGGGAAATATTGCAAGGTATTAAGCTGGGAACCGTGTAATTAGATTTGCATTTCAGAAAGTTCACTCGTTGCAGCATCAAGTATGGGTTGAAGGGAAGCAAGACTAGAAGCAGGGAACCAAATTAGAAGAGGATGTTCCAGTAATCCAGGCATGGATTCATAGGGGCCTGGAGTCTTGGTGGAAGAGGGCATGGGACACGTGGACAGATTTGACAGACATTTCGAGCTAGAATCCATAGACTGGGAAATTGATTGAACATGAGGAATGAGGGAGAAGGAGATGATGCTCATATTTATGGCTTGGGCACCTCTTCTTGTGGTGTGAGATGGGGAATACAGGGGTGCAGGGGTGGAGGAAGATTATTTTCAACATTGTTCTATAGAGATGAGCTGTGACTTAATGGAGTGGTCAGTACAGGAGCAGAGGGAGGTAGGGCCTTCGAAAGAGCTAAGATGGGAACGGGAGTTGGGGAGGCATCAGCATCTGGAAGTGGGGATGTATGAGATTGTCTGAGGGCAGTTTTTAGAGTGAGAAGGTCACTGGGCCTTAGGCAGATCCCTGGGAAACATGGGTAGGCTAGAAAGGGAAGGATGGGCCTGCAAAGGAGACTGAAAGCAGGATGAGGAAAACCAAGAGAGCATAGAAGGCATAGAAGCTTCATGGAAGAGGAGTCCAAAACTGTCAAATACTTCTGAGAAATCAAACAAGAGAAGGACTTCGATTCAGCAACAAGATCCTTGGCACACACAGTTTTAGTGGAGTAGTTTGGGCAGAAACCAGACTACAATGAGTTGAGGAATGAGTAAGATGAGGATATGGTGACAGTGCAGATGACTTTTTGAAGGTTCATGCACGAGTCTTTAATATGCTCTACTAGTGCTTAATCCAAATATAGCAGCCTTCCAGGATCAAACAGTTATAACATTTGGAAAGCAGCCTGGAATATGTAACAAAAACTTTAACATACTTTAAATACTATGAGGCATATATATATATTAAGGTAAGGGGAGGATATTTTCTAAGACATGTTGTAGTGGATCATATTCAAAGTATTAACTGAGGTCCCACCCTCCCTGAACTTCCTTGTCTCTTACCTATCATTCTACCACTGAGATCAATGATAACCCTAATGCACTTGCCTAAGGGAAAGACAGCTAGAATCTTGAACAAAGATATTAAAAGGGGGGCCGAATTTTTTTTTTTTTTTTTTTAATTCATGGTGCAATTAAAAGTCAAAGCAATTTTTTAAGAGCTGCTGCTTAGGTGAAAAGTTTGTTTTTTGTTTCTTTTTTTTTAGTTTGCGTTTTTAGTGGACATGCTTGGCTTTTAATATCAAAAGCCAAGAAACTTGGAGGACAGGAGAACAGAAACTATAGGTTAGGGGAAGATTCAGGATGATATAGGTCTGTTTCTCAATCTAGGGTAAAGTTTCTGGGAGCAGAAAAGGTGGGGGTTGCCATTTGTATACAGAGCCCCCTGACAGTTTTAAGGGTTGCAGAGATAGCTTGTGTCTCCCTTTCCAGGGTAGAATTTAGGGGAAATTTCAAGCCTCTCAGTCATGCTGCACATCCAGCATGGGGCCAGAGCAATTTCATGGCTATGCCTGGCTAAACGGACAGGTCAGATGACAGCTCAGATTGGGGGAGCATTCTATTGTTCCTATGTCCTAAGGGGGCTCAGAAATATTGAGAGAGAGACTTTGAACTCATCCATGCCTGTGGCTTAGAACAGAAGGAGGCAGATCTGGCACACAGTACTCAATAAATATTAGCTTCAGTGCGGCTGGACCTAGTAACTTGATTCTAATAAGCAGAATACAACAAAAGTAATAGGATACCACTTTGGAGATGGGAACGCAGAAGAACTGTGACTTCCATCTTGGGCACCCTCACTCACTCTCTTACTGATTCACTATGAGAGAAGCCAGCTGCCATGTTTTGACCTTCCATGTGGTGGGACCCACATGCTGAGAAACTGATGTCTCCAGCCAAAAGCCAGCAAGGACCTGAGGCCTGACAACAACCATCTGAGTGAACCTGGAATAGAATCCTCCCCAGGCAAGCCTGAAGATGACCACAGCCCAGCTGACATCTTTATTGCATCTTTAAGGAGACCCTGAGCTAGAGGTACCCAGGTAAGCCATGCTTAGGTTCCTGACCAAAAACTGTAAGATAACAAATGTTTGTTGTTTTAAGCCACTTAATTTGAAGGTAATTTGTTACACAGCAAAAGATAACTAATAAATAGTGTTATACAGAGCCAATGATTGTTGTACAGGTAAGGCAGCTGGAGCACCTGTTGCTGACAATGCTGCCATTGGTACTACCACCACCATGACACTGCAGGATCTCTAAGACCTGAAGACACCTTCTTTTGTTGCCCCTACCACAGCCAGAGTCCAGGATCACTTGTTCTGTGACCGCCAAAGTACCTACTGCTACTGCCATCTCTAGAACCACACAGGAATCCAAGGACCCACTCTTGTCCACTGCTACTGCTGTCTGGAAGTACAGTCAGAAATAGAAGAGGAGGGAAAAAACCTCACACAAAATATATGCCTTCTCTCACCTTCTGTCTTTCATTGTCAAAACCTAACTGGAAGCTACCTGGCAATAGAGTCTGAGAAATGTGTCTGATAGACTTTTAGTCCCCTATGATAACCAAAAAGACTATGGAAAGGTAGAAATGTAGCTGAGTGTGAACAGACAAATAAATAACACATATGTATTCTTCCACTTAATTATGGAGTGCTAGTAGGCAGTAGCATTTTATAGCTAAGAGAATAAGAAAACATTCAGTTTACCTTGGCAGCTGGGGTCACCTGGTGATTTATGTTCAGTATTTCAGTCTCTACTGGAGTCCCAGAAGCACGCCAAGATCACTTTCTGAACAGGAAAATAATTGCCAAGGAGGGCAAGGCTTTTCTCTAAAATCCTAGGCATCTGGCCTGTATTTCTCTTATTGGGGTTGCTACAGCTCTACCACAGATTCCTCAAACACTGCTGAACTTACTGAATGATAAGAAGCAACTGCTTTTGCTACAATGTGATTTACCTGGAAAGGTTTCAGTTATTCAAATATACTAAAATCTGGCACCCTTTGGGGCCCCGGGTAAATACATTTGAATGGTATACCTCCAAATGGAATACATTGTCTCTAAAATCCAAAAATAAGTATTGCACACTTTCTGTGTGGCTGGTAGTGAAAGGATGCTACTTCTCCTTCTCACTGGAGGGAATATCCCAACATTTTTCAGATTACTGGACCTCTAGAAACTTTACCAAAATTTTCCTCAAGATTTAATTCCCACTTGGCTTGCATGTGTCTTATCAAAATAAATAGGGTACCCACAACTTCTTGTTCTTTGGGTCCTGTCAACAAGATGTCATCAACCTGGTAAACCACTATGATATCCTGTGGGCTAGTGAAATGATCATGATCTCTGACAGTGGCACAGACAGCAGCACAGACCCTTAGAGTTATATAACACTAAGGCAAGATGGTGTTCAGCAGTTGCTTCCAGGTGAAAGCAAATTGCTTCTGGTATGTTTTATCTATTAAATATATGAGGAGAAGGGAGTATTTGCCCAAGCAATAGCTCTGTGACAGGGCCTGTGTTGATACGTTCCTCAAAAGAGACCACACTTGGAAAAGCACTGGCATTTAGATGCATTACCTGATTGAGTTTATAATCCTTAGTCATTCTTCAAGATCATTCATTTTTATCCCTAACCAAGCTGGCAGGCTAAATGCATCTTTCAAATCTTTGATGGTGACACTTACTATAGTCCTTCACCAAGGGATCAGTATAACTTCTGTTTTACTCTTTTGATTTGGGGAAGGAAAGATAAAGCTCTGTGGGTTTCCACTTAGTCTTTTCTATCATAATCGCTCTTGTTCTGAAGGTCAGGAAACCAATGTGAAGATTCTGCCAGTGTCTGAGTATATCTCTTTTAACTGTACACTCAAGAATTGGGAAAATAACCACAGGAAGGGTTTAGGGTCCCACTGAACTTACTATAAAGTGGACTCAGGTTACAATTCCTTTGATCATCTCACCTCTCTATGAGCCCACTCTAACCAGTGAACTACAGTGACATTCTGAGTTAGTATAAATCATAGCCAGCGTTCAGCAATCTCAGAGGACTGGAATTTTCTTTTTGTCCATGCAGATTTTCTATAGGTGACCACTGATTCCTTTAAGTAAGGCTAGGAGTAAGAGTC